ATCTGTCGCAGACTTCGAATGACGATTTGCCCATGCCATATGTGACTATGATTTCCACCCGGTGCGCTAGTGCTGGTTCTCAACAAGAAGATTGAAGCTGCGTTGAATGCCAAGTGTAAACCACGGTATTTCGGACCTATGGTAGTCGTCTCCCGTGCTGCTGGTGGCTCCTACCTACTCGCCGAACTTGACGGTGCAGTCTCACGTCTCAGATTCGCCGCATTCCAGATCATTCCCTATCACCCTCGATCCTTGTCAACACTCGAAGTCACACAGTTCCTTAATCCAGATAACCTTGTTGGCACTGCCCCAGAGCACAAATAGTTGTTTGAGGATCGACTGGGACAGTTGACATTTCTAGTTGGGGGGAGGTGTAAGAAAGGCTGCGCCTTTAACGATGAAAGCTCGCTTCAATCAACCCTTCAACGACTGTGACATATCACGCACTGCCTTCTCTTCTATTTCCTTTCTGTCCATATTTACATCAATTCACGTTTACCCTTTGTCCTTATCGCCATCACCACACGTTCCCAATTATTCTTTGTACCTACGCCACACCTTTCACGTCTCACTTTGCCTTTCTTCTCGCTACTCGCGCTTTGATAATGCTTTGTCCATTCTCCCGCCGTATAAAAAGTTACATGTAATTCTCGTTTAATTAGTGAATCAACTCCCTCTCAGTGATCCGTATTCTCGCAGCCGTCCAAACATTCCGTCAAAGTCAAAAATGTCTCTGTCTGCATCATCGTTTGATCTCTAGTCAACTTGCTACCATCCTCTCTCACAATTTCCTACCTTCCTCGATCAATCCTTTCAATTACCCTTAGAACTCACCTCAGCCTTACAGGGTCCTTTTCATGCGGATCATCTTGCAGAAATTGGAATCGTTCATCTGATAATTGAGACATTCCTTTCGATGCGGGGATGACATTCCCCGAGCAGCAGGGGAAATCAGGTTGAGACGTGACCATAGGGTCTCCATGATCTCTCCATTGATCCGACCAATGCCTTCGATAAAATTCGACGCATATCGGACATAGCAGCTGTCCTGATGTCCGTGGATGTGCCACAACCCGATTCCGGGAATGATGGTCAATTCCGGAACCATTTCGAGAAATCGGCTTCGATCCACCCGAACCCGAAAGTGCTTGTTGTATTGACAGTTGATATCATAGAAGGTGACCACCCTCGTGATGCCTTCCATGTTGTGCTGGGCAGCCTCACAAAGAGCATAGTCCATGTTCATTTGTCTGGGAATGATGCATGGTTAACTCATGAATGTCGAATGGCAGGGTGGGCTTGCCTTTCGCCTTTTTGAAAATCTACCATCAAGTGAGGAACAAAGCAACCGTGTCAAGCACAGGCTACTCCCCCGATGCCCGTGGATTCCAGCTTGTGCCGAGCCGCATTTGCTTGATTTACTGCCCGGTGATTGCTGCAGCTCGATTTTTCTAAAGTGTCGGCAGCCTCTGCAAGATGCTTTTTATACCTGTCCTTTCCCACCATGAATCCCAACCCATCTGACAGCCAAACTTCATCAAATGGCTTCATGGGATGCAGGTGTTTGGCTTTGAAATTTCCGTCCATAACAAATGACCGGGTGTATTTCCACCTTGGAGCTGTTAACATCGCTGAGGTGACTTCCGTATCAAACGAGACTCACTCATCAAGTGATTCATCCCCTGACAAGGATACATTGATCCCTGGCTGAGGACAAGCAGGGCAAAATAATGCGAGATCACCTGCATTCGGGTTGTCAGAACGATGGCCAAATCCATGCCATTTCATGGCCTTCAACTGCCTCCACTGTCGGGTGACTCTCATGAGCTCTCGGTATCGGTCCTTGCCACATGCTTTGTCAATATAATGTCCTTTAGATGAGTGATATAGCATTACCGGTACAAGGTGTGGAAACATGTTGGAGGTCATTTGCCGGAGCTTGCTGTAATAGTTCATCGCCAAGGTCCCACATTCAAGGTTGTCCAATAGAAAATCATCGAGCACCCTGAAGGTGAACAAAGTCTTCGGCTTGTTAAATGAAGCGGGGAAAAATCCATGTCGAAACATTTGAAGGTCTGGAGTCATGGCATTTGGACAATCGCAGCATCAAACCTGGAGGCGATGAACTCCGGACTTGTTGACGATAACCATGGTGTTTTCCTTCGGCTGGAACTCGGGTCCCGACACAGACGGTAGATCTTCAGGCTCAAGCTGGTCTTCAGGTTCGTCTTCTTCGAACAAATCCCACCTATCTGTAAGTACCGGACATTGTTTGCCCTCATGACCAAGGTGTATGATGAGTCCGACGTGAGCGAGACAACTTTGCTCGAAGAATTGACCATTCCATTGACTGATCCAGTGGAAGGGATTGCGCGAATGTTGACTTCTGCAACAGCCAGTGCAATATAGTGGCTCCCCAAGACAATCTTGACATTTGTAGACCCATCCTGGTTGCAGATGATGCATCTCCTATCTTCTGGTGGAGCTTCTCGATCCAGGAGGTGATGTAGATATGATTCCTGCCTTGGCAGCCATTGCCTGAGGTAGTCATTCTGACTCTGCATTTGTTATACTTAGCTATCATTTGAATTGCAATGCAACATTTTACATGAACTTGCCATGGTTTTTGGGAGTTGCAAAGGCTCAAATGAGCCTTGGTCGTGCTCGTAAGTATTGTCAGGAATGTCTTCCCAAAGAGGTGGTGCCTCAACAGGCTGAAGTGTTGGTGATTCTGGGGGAGAGTTAGGCATGGACCTGTAGGCATGTCTTTTTGTGCTTGCAAGTGGGACCTTGACCCAAGTCTTCCTACCTTTGCTGCCCCTTGCTTCTACCCTGTGGGATTTTTGCAGTGGGGTGCATCTACCTATCTTCATCTTATTTTCTAAGGCTGCAAGCAAAGCATTAGCTCAGGAATGTGAATAAATTGTTATTGCAATGTGATGTTATGCAGTCTTGATGCGTCATTACAAATTCATTTCCATTAATGGAATTCCGTCCAATATGGGTAGATTAACCAACTGTTAGGCTTTGCTCAAATGTTCAACTTAGTCACCATTATTACTTCCACCTTGCTCATCCTCAGCCCTTTCTGCAATCTCATTCACAATGGCAAGATCAGGTCATTCCACTCAGTTGACTTCCACTTCTGGAAGACTTAGGGCGTGTCAACCACAGACACAGAAGCTCACGGACAACGAAATTTCGGAGTTGAAAAACTACCTTCCTGAGTGGACTTCGGCGAAAAGGAATGAGAAGCTGGGCAGTTTTCACTGCCATAGCCAGGGCTGCCAGGCTATTTGCTCCCAAGGTCGACCAAGCACAATGGAAGAAGAGGAAGTGGGTGATTCATCCTTGCTTCGTTCAAAACTAAAATTTTAACATCTTATTCTTCCATGAACTCTCAGATGTACAAGACATGGTTGTTCAACAACAAGAAAAAGAAGGAGAGGAAGGACATGATAAAGTATGGGAGGAAATGGACTCCTAGGCAGGTGATCTACCAGCAGAAGCGGGAGGAGGTGCTGAAGAGGATCGAGGACGAGTCCGGGGCAAAGCCAGGAGGTCCCGGTATGTTCAAGTATTATCAGGCGGCTGTAAAGAGAGTCATGACTGAATTGTCCGACGACGAGTTGGAGAAGGCGAAGGACACAGCCGAAGAATGGTCGAACAACTTTCCGCCTCCCGAGATACAAGCACAAGTGGCTCGTAAGAAGGGACCGGCATATATGGAGCACTTTTCGAAGGAGATGTGGAGGCAATGCAGGGATGAGAGTGTTTGTGATGTCGGCATGGAAGAATGAACAGGGCGAGGTGCTGTTCGGGATGTAAGTCAATTTTGTCATCTCAGATCCTCAATCTCAATACATTTCATGCAGGCACGATGATAACGAGGCATTAGGAGATGGGGACAGTTTCATGAAGATGAAGGAGTGGGAGGACATCGAGCCAGTTTGGCAGGAGTACGCACAGGAACAATTCGGTGAGTGTTTGAACTCTGGCTACTGGAATGAATTGGTTGATCTTCTTCATGATAGGTGCCGGGGCACGGGATGGAGGGCGACAGGTGATGCGAGGTCGAAAGAGAATCAGGAAGCCTGCTTTCGAACTCGAGACCGACTGGGGATGGGATGCCGGTGCTTCCAGACATCACCGAAACGAAACTCGAGGAGAAGAAAGCCATAGTCAGAGCATTTCTTACATCGCACTATCGTGAGTCCATCGTTGCGACACCCGAACATTTGTTGAACGCATGTATACAGGTATCTGTTCCGGGATTGACAAGGCAGTTGTGCCATGGAGCGCCATCGTACAAAGTCAGGATGACTTTGTGGCAAGAAAGTATGTTCTGGCGGATGTAGACTTGAAGGAGCCATCGAAGTTGCAACATTGGGACACGACCGCCTTACTGACTTTCTGGTATGCTCGGCAGGAGAAAGGCAAAGGTCCAACATTCCTGTTCAAAGCATGGAAGAACAGAGATGGGGACATGGTAGCCTCGGTTGTATCCTGGAATTCACCGTCTCATCGGACTCATAAAGTCAGAAGAGATATGATCCGAAGGCCTCGGAATTCGGAGACCGAAACTGACAGTGATCCCGAGAGTGAGCCCGAGGGTGACACTCATGATATGGAGGATGATGCTGGTGATGACGCAGCGGAAGGTAGATCCCTGCAAAAGAGACCCAGAACAGAGCCTGGTCCTTCGACAGCACATGAAGGAACCGCTGTCCCACGTGCAATTCCAAAGCCTCGCCCGGTCAATGCAGGGAAACTGGTGCACTGCTTACATCACGAATGGGCGACCTCCCGGCTGGACTGACTGAGAGAGTCACCGGCAATGTTCAGGAGGATGGTGCAACCGAAGGAGTCAATAGGTCACCGGCACTGAAAAACATGCGGGGAAAGAAAGGGGTGATTGAGCCATCGGCGAGGACAACCCAGAGTAAGTCAACACAACAGCCATTGGACACTAGCCCTTCGAGTGACCAGAGCGAGGGGAAAGAAGTAATGGACTTATACTACACTGCCTGCCTTTACCTGCTATTATGTACATGTCAATGTGATTCAATCATATCGAATAGAGTCCCGAGTATGAGTATCGAGTCCCGACCATCAAATCCCGAACATCGAACATCGAGTCCCGAAACCTGAAGCCCGAAGATTCGAGGAATGAATCCCGACTACCAAGTCCCGAACATCGAGTCCCGAACATTGAATCCCGACTATCGAACACCGAGTCCTGACTATCGAGTATCGAGTATAGAGTCCCGAGGATCGAACATCGAGTCCCGAACATCTAAAATCCCAAACATCGAACATCGAGTCCCAAGTATCGAGTCCTGAAACCCGAAGCCCGAGATTCGAGGAATGAATCCCGACTACTGAGTCCCGAACATCGAGTCCCGAACATCGAGTCCCGAATATTCGAATCCCTACCATCGAACACCGAGTCCCGAACATTGACCATCGAATCCCGACTATCGAACATCGAGTCCCGACTATCGAACACCAAGTCCCGTAAGACGCCCGGTGACATGCATTGAAAGATCCGGTAGTGTACATGATGTGGGGATATCAATGAAAATTCAGAGGTTGTAATAAGGTAATTTACATAGTCATTTGTTCTTCAAAGTGTTGAATCATGGAATCTACTACCTTGAGCATTTCAATGCTCATCTGTTCAACTCTTTGCAACCTCTGCAGGTCTGCATCAGCTTTTCTCAGTTTGTCGGAAGTTTCCGCCCAAGCAGTTCGGAATGGTCGCTCAGCCTCCATTAGTTGTTGGATGGAAGGGTCAGGAAGACCTCCAGTACGGCGTTTGTAATCACCGAGTCGATCTCGGACGGATTGGTCTTCCCGAAAGATTAGCAAAAAGATAAATGCTCTGCTTTCAGATACTCACATTCTGGGTGTTCGTATTTTCCGAAAGGATGGAGCTCCCGGACCATCAAACGTACATCTTCGACATCGAGCTCCGGCTCATCTGCACAAAGTTCGGTAGATGATTTGGCGGCTTGGGAGATACGATAAGTATCAATAATTGTCTGGAATGAATAGACCCACATGAAATAGACACCTCTGATGTAGCCGGTGCAAAAGTGGGAGGATCAGCAGAATCCGGCAACTCATCAACATCAATGACATCATCCTCAGGCCTGAGGTACAAGTCTGGATCAATGAGACAGCCGGCATCATCAGCCTCACCCGGATGTGATTGATCTTCAAGGGTGAAGTTAGCATGGATGGTGAACGCTGATCATAAGGAATGTATAAACATACCGGGCATTGCAGCCGACGCATCCGGTGGTCCGGATGACATAGAATCATATTCTATGTCATCATCCGGCCCAAGGTATAAGTCATCTAAGTCATCTGAGGGACACCCAGTAAATTGATAAGGAATGATAAGAATACAACATACCTAGTGATACCCGGCCCATAGATGAGTCATCCACATCCATAGAATTATAGTCGGTCACCGGGGGGTCATTAAATCTAACGGCTGGATGGGAACTCATGTGGTGTGGAGAATTGGTGGACTGGTTGACTGATGATTGAAAAAACTTCGAAGTTCAACACACAACCGGCGATTGCCGAAAGTTCAATGACGACCAAACAAACACAAACAATCAATGATTTTATCGATCGTCCATCAAATGTCTTGTTTGATTTGAAACTTCATCCTTCTGATAACTGATCTCAATCTGATTTCAAGATCTTAAATCTCTCAACTCACTCATCATGTCCACTCCAGTTGCCGACTCTTTGACCGATCTCAAGAATTCCACTGCCCAGATCATGGCCATCATCAGCGCCGCCCTGGCAGATTCCCCCGGGTCCCAGCCACTCAGCTCTGGGAAAACAGGTTGGTACACTTGTGGTATGTATTTTTTTTCGTGTTTTTTTTCGTCTCTAACATCCAGGTAGTCTAATGTAGCAAAGGAGTATGGGTCCAGGGATGGTCCTATTCCCGGACTCATCATTTCGTGCCTCAAAGAGCTACACCGCATCCAGAGCATGGTTCCCAAGGTCTGGCCCGACTGGCACACCATCGGGTATGACGATCCCCGCATTTTGAGGCACCCCTGGCACCCCAAGGTCCTCGCCTGGGAGGCCATAGGTGACCGGACCTTTGATCTCCCAACTGCTGCCCCCCCATCCACAGGTCCGATTCCAGTCAACCTTCCCTCCCCAGCCATCCCTACCAGCAATGTCGCCGGCCCTTCCACCAACCCCACCACCGAGTTCCGGGACAAGGGGAAAGGTAAGGCCGTCTTCGCTGACCTGGAGCCTGAGGCAGAAGGCAGTAATAAGAGGAAGTCCCCCTTGATTTCAGGACCACCCTCCCAACCCCCGAAATCCGCGATGAAGAGTCACAAGCGTCTGAGGTCGGCTTGCATGGTGAAGTCCAAGCCCATGGTGGAGTCGGAAGATGAGGAAGACACAATTGTCAAGGTATGTTGTCTCGTTCTTCTTTTACTTGTCTCACATTTTCTTGTAGCCGTTTTCAGGTGGAGCGCCGGAGGTCGTCGTTCCCCTGCTCTCCACAGTTATCGCAAGGACGCCCAATTCGCCTCAATCACCCAGGGTTCTGATGAAGAAACCCTTTGGCCCTGCCACGGTAAGTCACGCTTACGCGTCCGGGACTCGGGTGTATGCTTACCATTTACCAGGTGATTGCCGGCATTCACCCAGCAGTCGTTGAGCCCTCCTGGCCAACTCCCAAATCCCCGGTGCAGGCACCCCCAGTCATCCCTGCAGTTGACATTCTCATTCCCGGACCGGTGAGTACTTTTATATATCTCAAGTGTATCCATACAGTAATACAACTCACAGAAAAACCCATGCAACGCTTGCAACAAGCTACAATGGCCTTGTGCAACTCGGATGGACAAGAGGACCGGGGCTCTGTGTATGTTGTGCATCTACTGCACGACAAAGAAGATCAAGTGCACCCCCGCGTCTATGGGATCCCCGCCTCCTCGCAGTGGTGCCTCCTCTACCACCCGGAAGACGAGGTCCAGGATGCCATCCAGGGCTCCCTCCAGGGCTCCCTCCAAGGCTCCCTCCAAGGCTCCCCCCGCATCCCAAACCCCCGCCCCCTCCCAAGCTCCCCCTGCCTCCCAATCCAAGGCCCGAACTTGAAGTCAGTCTCGTGGCATGGCCGGAACTCCCGGTGTCAATGCGGTGACAACCCCCAAGACCCAGATGCGTGGTCGCAGCAAGACAATCACTGCCGTCAAGGCACCTGCACCTGAACCAGCTCATAAGTCACCCGAGGTTTATTTTTATCATCGTCTGACCTTAGGTTTGCATTCTAGCTCTTCCGGCCTCGAGTTCGGCAGTGCCAGCTGCAGCACGTGGCCCAGCAGTCCCTGCTGCAGCACTTGACGTGCCCATGCCGGATCTCCATTCCATGGCCATTGTGATTCGTCAAGGCGCAGCTCGAATCGCTCTTCTGGAGGATCGTGTGGCAGAGCAGGATGGTAAGATTGATACCCTGCAATGCCTTCATGAAGGCCTTAGGCGCGAAATCATGCTCCGGCACCCCTCATTCCCACTGCCCGATCCTCCTGCCAATGCATCATCCTTGTTGCTTGATCAATCTGGCCCCCCCACCATGTCACCCACCGAATCTGCACTCCCACCTCTCATTGATCTCACAATGGAAGGCATTGCTCCCACAACCGCAACCACAACAGTCCTGGATGCCTCTGCCATTGATGGCCTCCTGTTTGATTACAACCAAGTTGCTCATCCAGAGGATCCAGATGCATCTGGCGAAATCGTGGACCCAGGTGATCCGAGCAACCTTGTCCCAGAATATAACTCCTCTGATGACATGGCTACATAATTGCATAGTGATAGATGTATATACAAGTTTTCAATGAATGTAACCTCTGCCAGTCCATTGATCGAGTGACTGAGTTCCCAGTACCGACACCCGACACCTGAGATTCGGTACTCGGTACTCGGTGATTCGTGTGTTCGAGTGTCGAGTTTCGAGTCGAGTACCGACACCCGAGATTTGGTTGATTCGTGTGGACATTCGAAATTCGAAACCTGAAACGAAGTGCTGACTACCGAGTACCAAGTACCGACACCCGAGATTTGGTACTCGGTACTCGGCACTCGGTGATTCGAGTCTCGGGATTCGAAACTCAGATTTATGCGAGTTTCAAGTTTCAAGATTCGAGTTGCGAGTTTTGAGTTTTGAGTCGAGTACTGACACCCGACACCCAAGTACCGACACCCGAGTACCGACACCCGAGATTCGGTACTCGGTACTTGGTACTCGGGTGTCAGGTGTTGGGTGTTGGTACTCAGATTTATGTGAGTTTCGAGTTTCAAGATTTGAGTTTCAAGATTCGAGATTCGAGATTCGAATTGAGTACCGACACACAACACCCGACACCCGAGTACTGATGATACACACGAATCACCGAGTACTGAGTACCAACACCTGACACCTGAGATTCAGTACTCAGTACTCGGTGATTCGTGTGTATCATCGGTACTCGGGTGTCGGGTGTCGGTACTCAATTCGAAACTCGAATCTTGAAACTCGAATCTTGAAACTCAAAACTCGCATAAATCTGAGTACCGACACCCAACACCCGACACCCAAGTACCAAGTACCGAGTACCAAATCTCGGGTGTCAGTACTCGGGTGTCGGTACTTGGGTGTCGGGTGTTGGTACTCGACTCAAAACTCGAAAGTTGCAACTCGAATCTTGAAACTTGAAACTCGCATAAATCTGAGTTTCGAATCCCGAGACTCGAATCACCGAGTGCCGACCCGACACCCGAGTACCGAGT